GCACAGGAGGAGCGACGCGGGCGACGAGCCCCACCACAACCCCGGAACAGGGCCCAGCGTCGCCATCAGCTCTACGAAGAGCACCAGCGACTGTATCGGCTGGGGCCGAAGGTGCTGGTGGATGAAATACGCATGGAAGGTGCCGATCCCACCACGACGCTAAACGAGCTCCACAGGGTGTATGACCCACTAATGTCTTGCTCCTCACGTCAGGTGGACAGTATCACCTCCAAAGTGACTGGCCTGGGTGATGTACAGGTGGAGCCCTTTTCGGAGGAAGAAATTAGACTGGTGCTGAAGGCGACAGACACCAGCACAGCGCCGGGTCCAGGCGGCCTCACCTCAAAGAGATTCGGAAGGTACCGGCTGCCGTGCTAGCCCACCTCGTTGCCAACTGGCTTGCCTTTACCTCGGTACTGGCAGAGCTGAAGGCTGCGCGCGGAAAATATTCATTACGAAGTTCCGCAAGGCCACGGCGGCCGGCAACTTTCGGCCCATCACCATGTCATCTCTACTTCTGAGGCTTTACACACGAGCCCTCTTACGAAGGTTCAGCCAGGATCATCAGTTTCACGACAACCAGGTAGGATATATGGGACGACCGGAGCATGATCGTCTAACATCATGATCCTCCAGGCCCTGATCAAGAAGAAGAAGACGGATCGCCGCAGCCTCTATGCCTTGAGCCTGTATGTCCGGAAAGCTTTTGACACTGTCAGCAACCACGCCATTATCGAAGTCCTCAAAGATAGAGGCCTACCACCGAAATACATCGAGGTGGTCCGGGATCTTTACGCCGGCTCATCCACCACCTTTTGGGCCGGTGGGAAAACCGATGGAGTCAAGATCTCGGTGCAGCAGGGGATCAAACAAGGCGATCCCCTCTCGCCCTTCCTCTTCAAATGGATCCTCGATCCCCTCCTCACCGACTTCGACCTGGATGCCGCCGGACTTGACGTTGGCAGCCAAACGATCGGCGCTCTTGCATTTGAAGACGAATTGATTTTGACGTCATTCAGCTACGAGGTGTTATATATCGATATGTTTAGTAGCGCCCTCTCGGTGGCGGTTTGCCCTCTTCAATAAAGGTCAGGTCTAGCCATGTGGTTGACACACATGATGGCGGCCCGTCTGAACGAACACACGTGCCGATTCAATCCATGACAATCAAGACGTAACATGGTGTCAGAAGTTAACATTTCTTAACTAGGCAACTCTCCGAACAAACTACAGCAAAGCAACGAGGGTATCACCATGGCATTTCCCCTGATCCAACCGCCCAAGCCGTTTGAACCAGGCAGCAGCCCCTCCGAAACGTGGTCGGAATGGAAGACGGCATATGAACTCTATGAGGCAGCCTGTGAGTATACAGCCAAGGCCCCAGCAACCAGGCGAGCGCTGCTGCTGCACGTCATCGGCTCAGCAGCACGGAACATTGTCGACATATTCGTCTTTCCAGCTCGGGCAACTGGTGAGCCTCTAACAGACACGGTGGTTGCAATTTTTGCGAAATTCGAGGAGACGTATCTGCCGTACAAAAATGTGACGCAGGCGGCAGCTGTTTTCAATTTTATGTACCACAAGGAAAATCAGCCGATTGACGACTTCATCGCTGATCTAAAGGCCAATCGAGGAAATGCAATTTTGGCGACCAGCACGACCGCCTCCTAGGCGACAGGATAATCATTGGAATTCGCGACACAGCTCTGCGAGAACGGTTGTTTCGGGAAAGGGACTTTACTCTCGAAAAGATTATTATGACGTGCAGAGCGGCTGAAATTTTAAAGCAGCACGTATCTTCGCTGTTGACGACCTCGGATAGACAAGGGGCGACGGTCGACAACTTGAACTGCGGAGGACGGCTACAGGAAAATAGACAACCGAGAAAACAGCCCCAATATCAACAAAGAAGCAACCGTCCACAACATAGAGAAGCCAAGCACCAGAAACATAAAGAAGCCAAGCACCAGAAACATAGAGGAGCCAAGCACAACATAGAGAAGCCAAGCACCCACCTGCCCCGACAGTGCCCCGCCTATGGATCAACTTGCTACGCCTGTGGAAAGTTTGGACATTTTGCAAAGCTATGCCGACAGAAACAGCGAGTGGCACCGCGACACGTCCAAATTCTAGACGTGGAGGAACAAGCGACTGTTCAATATTTTGGTCTGGGCAGCCTGACTATAAACTACATCCCAGAAAATTCACCCTCCGACTGCCGACGTCAGCGGCAATCCAGTGCATTTCAAGCTCAACACGGGTTCCCATGTCAACATACTCCAAGAGCAGGTTGTGTTTAAATGGGAGCCCCATCCAGCTATCAAGGAGACTCAAGCAAAGGTTACAATGTATCTGGGTGAGCAGCTTGATATCCAAAATGAGTGCCATTTCCTTTGCACTCTGTAGAACACACATTCCAACCTCAAGTTCTTGCTTGTGAAAGGAAATTTCAAGCCCATGCTTGGAGCAGCCGCGTGCACAGCCTTAAACCTTTTGCATCGAGTGAGGCATATCGAAGTGGCAAATGAAGCCTCTCATCCTGCTTCGGACTTTGAAGAAATACTTCAAGAATTTCCAGAAGTATTCCAGGGCATCGGTAAACTCCCAGGAGAATACAGCATTCACCTGAAACCGGATGTAAAGCCTACGGTGACCGCCCCTCGCCGGATGCCAAGTGCACTCGAAGAAACTGTGAAGGCCGAGCTCACAAGAATGTAGGACAATGGCATTATCAAGGCTGTGACAGAACCAACTGACTGGGTCCATCCCATTGTCATCATCACAAAAAAAGATGGAAATGTGCGGATTTGTTTGAATCCAAGAAAACTAAATGCAGCAGTCAAGCGGCCCCTATTGAAAATTTCATCAAGATAAGTAATTTGGGACACTGACTGCCAGTCAGCAGCCCTGGTGGAACGTGCCCTGATGGTCCATCAGATGACGTCTGACTGCCACTGCCAAGGGAATTTCATCAAGGGCAGCATTTATATAAGAGTGCATTTCGGACGAAATGGCTATACGCACTCATAAATATCGCCAAATGCCTCGACAAAACAAAATGCTCAAGAAAAAAAAAGAAAAAAAAGCAGGTCCTCTGCGGATCGAACCCGCGTCCACTTGCGTAAAAAGCGGACACGTTAATCCCTATGCTATGCCATCGCTTAGCAAACTCGATTTGACCATTCGTTTTATACGAGTTTAGCGGAGTGCGTATAGCCATTTCCGTCCGAAGTGCACTCCGGTGCCAGCGTATAGCTTTACTCTTTATATAAAGCTCAAAATCCGAGGTGGCAATCTTAGATGGCTATGAAACGGTTCACAAGCCGAGGTGGCCATCTTGCACGGCTGTGAAACGGTTCACAAATCCTTAAAATGAACGTAACTCATGACATCAAAAATCAGGAAAAGTGTGTACCCGTCCTTTGTGTTTTTTTCCCCTTTTGAAATTTGCGTTTTTTGGCAAGAGGGACATTCGTTTACAAACGGGACCACACGCACTGTACGCATGTTTCAAAGAAACGCCCTCGATGTCTGAACCTTTCGGGTTCAGACAGCCGTTATTATGTGAGAATTGTTTTTTTTAAGTTGGTGAAAAACCTCATGTATTCTCTATGGGGCTCTGAGGTGCGCCCCCTCTTAATTCACAAAACCTATGCGACTCCGTTGAAGCTAGAGAGCAAGCATGCATGCTACGACAGACAGCCCTGGCTTCCACGGACGAACGCGAGCAGGAGACATATTTGAACTACGCTCGTGGATGCTTTTTGTCTGCACTCTTCATGAAACAATAATAATGAGGTGCGACACAGCGGTAAGGCCAATAGCCCATGCCAGATAGAAAGGTATAAACTTTCTAGCCCAAACCTCTCGGACCGAGTCAGGAGAATTTTAGTATTGCAGCGCGAGATTCCGACAATGAGCGCATCGCTCTACAGAATGCTTCGGCTGCATATGCAGTTAAGCCTTCAGCATGTTATGCAAAGCACTCGTATATCAATCGCCGTACTTCAGTTCTACTCACGTGCCATGTGGAGTACTTTCGAGTCGTAGAACGATCCTTTTGTTCGCGCGTCTCCGGCCCAGTAGACCTGATACACTTTGACGTCTTCAACTACACCACTAAAGTCCCTTACATCGTCCGAACTCACGACAGGCTGGGTCTTGTCGAGTAGAAATTTTACTAAAACATAAGACATTGTAGAGCCCGGGCAGGATCGACAGGTTGGAGCAAGGGGGCAAACAAAACGAGTCGAGACCGATCGTTCAAGGAAGCTCGGCGAAGCCTCCATGGGCGAAGCGAAAGTGGCGTGTTCGGTGTTTCGGCGGGCTTCTGATCAGTGTTGTCGGTCGGCTGCGTGTCATATCTCTAACATCAGCGGTTTTATGGGCTCACGTCCCGAAATCGTTTTCTCGTGCATAGATTATTTTTCGCATTCATAGATTTGACGAAATAGTGGTATCCGAACGAACTTTACGTCCTTTAACCGTACGTCTGTCTGCACGTCAAAGCTTTTTGACGTACAGTCCAAGACAATCAATGTACAATCAGAATCGCTACCAAGACATCTTGATGGCATTTCGCGGCGGCCGACTGCCACCAGGAAACCATCAGAAAGCCGACAAGCGGAGTCTGACTGGAGCTTGACTGTCGGTCAGAGTAGATGGCCAATCAGACATGCTTGACGTACAGTCAGCGGTCCACTAGAAAACATCGACTGCCAAACAGGGTTACATTGATGGATGTTTCATTCGGAGCAGCACTACCGCATCCCAGTTCCAGAAGAACTCTTTGCGCGGCTATTTGGGTGCACTGTGTTTTCAGTGCTCGATGCCCAGAGTGCCTTTCGGCAGCTGGCTCTCGATGAAGAGAGTTCGTGACTGTGCATATTTGCCACACCTTCGGGTCGGTAGAGGTTCCTCAGAGTTCCATTTGGACTCAGCACAGCTCCAGAGCTCTTTCAGCAAGCCATTGATAGAATCTTCGAGCGCCAAACATTGTGATGCCGTACTTCGACGACATCTTGGTAGCCTCTAGAACGCAGAGTGACCATGCAACCCATCTGCGAAAGGTGCTTGAAATAGCACGCAACAAGAATCTGAAGCTGAACAAGCTCAAGCTGGGACTGTCTACAGTAACGAACCTTGGTCACCAGCTAACCCAAGACGGCATTGCTCCCGACCCTGAAAAGGTAAAGGCAATCAAGGCCTTACAACCACCAAATGACAAGGCAGAGCTCCTGCGATTTCTTGGAACGGCAACATACCTTATGAAGTTTGTTCCAAACTTCTCAACAAAGACGCAACTTCTGCGTGAGCTCCTGAAGCCCGACGTGGCATGGCACTGGACTTGCCAGATGTCCAATGCAGTCAAAAGGATCAGAGACAACCTGACCACTGCTCCAGTGTTGCATACTTTAATGCTTTGCGACCAATTGTGACATCAACCGACGCCAGCTAATATGGAATTGGCAGCATACTTCTGCAGGACGGATATCCAGTGGCATACGTATCAGCAGCTAATGCCGGCACAGCAACGCCACGCGCAAATAGAAAAGAAACTGTTGACCGTAGTGTTTGCCTGTGAACAGTTCTACTACTACATCTATGGTCGAAGCGTCGTGGTAGAGACTGATCACAAGCTCCTCATCCGCTTGCACCAAAAGGAATTCTATAAACTCTCCCCCAGACTCCAACGCTTGCTCGTTCGTATCCAGCGTTTCACCGTGAAGCTATTCCATGTGCATGGAAAACACTTGACAGCTGCTGACACCCTGTCTCGTGCACCTAATCCAGCACAGACCATCAAGCCAGTAGACAAGGAACATGGTGTCCTGGTCTGCACATTGGTTCAAGCATCCACAGCAAAGCTGGCTGAAATCCACGCTAGCACGGCAGCAGATGAGGTCTTGAAGCGTGTAATGACCTACATCGAACACGGTTGGCCAAACAAAATCTCAAAGGTCCGCCCATTATTCAGACCCTTCTACCCAAGAAGTGAGCTCTACATAACCGATGGCTTCGTCTGCTATGGCGAACGACTAGTAGTGCCAGAAGCATGCAAGAACAATGTGCTCTCAAGACTGCACATGACCCATCGCGGCATTGTCGCATGCAAGAACCTGGCTTCCCAAAGCGTCTTCTGGTTTAGGATAAACCAGGACATCGAGGAGCTGATCAGCAGCTGTGAAGCTTGTCAACGCCACCAAAGAGCAAATCAAAGAGAACCTCTTCTTGACCGAGACTTGTGAATGCACCCATGGATTTCTTCCACGACGGTGGTACCACTTATTTGCTTGTGGTAGATTATTGCTCAAAGTTTGTGGAAGTCAAGAAAATGTCGACTACGACGGCATCTGCTCTTATATCAGTGCTCAAGGAGCTATATGTGTACCTACCACGGCATACCAAGTGGAGTTGTCAGTGATTAAGGCCCTCCGTTTGATTCTATGGAGTACAGAAGCTCCCACAAGGAGTGGGATATTGTCCACAATCCATCGTCACCACTCTTTCCGAGGTCCAATGGTCAAGGAGAAAGGACAATACAAACCATCAAGGCCACAATGACTAAGGCTCTCTCCGAAGGAAAGGACTTGGCACTAGTTTTGATGACCTACAGAGCAACACCAAGTAACGGCCTTCCATCTCCGGCAGAAATGTTGATGGAAAGAAGAATAAGGACTCTAACAGCAGCCTGTCCAAGCAGCTTGCTGTCACACTATCCACACAAATCATTCTCCAAGCAGCTACAAGCAAGGCAGCGTGCACAGCATAAACACAGGGATCAACATGCGCCGGAGCTGCCTCCTTTTCAGAAGAACCAGCCAGTTTCGTTTTGGCATGGGAAAAGTTGGAGAAAAGCAGTTGTGACACAGGTGGGTTCAGCTCCACGGAGATACACGGTGACATCGGCAGATGGCCAGAACTACGCACGTAACCGCCATTACCTCCATGTAAGAATCGACTCCAGAGGGTTCATTGCAAGGCCAAGCCCAACCGGAAAAATGACCCGAGGAACCTCCGACTGACGGCTAAAGACTACTATCTTTTAGACTCCTCGCCCATTGCCAGGGACTCACCTCGTCAGTCGAATGCAAGAGACTCGCCACCACAAGCTCAACCCCGCCAGACTCGCTCAGGAAGACTTGTGAAGATTCCGTCAAGGTTCTTGTACTAAACCCTGTCGGACATTTTATTTTTGTGCATTTATTACTTGTGTGGCGGCATGTTATAAATCGATATGTTTAGAAGCACCCTCTCGGTGGCGTTTTGCACAGGGAGATGAAGCTCTCGGCTACTTCCGTCCGGCCGCATATATTTATGACGTCCGTCCGGTCCGGCGAACTGGTTCCGATTGCCGCGCTCCGAGCGGGAGTTGGCACTTGTTATTTTCTTTTAAATAAATATGATTCATATATTTAATGAAGTGAAATAAATGTGAAGTTGTTTTGAAGGTGTGAATGGCTTTGAAGCTTCTTATCGTAACTTTCTCTTTCACTCTTTCAACGCGTCTGGGCGCGCTTTCTCTCTCTCCGAACCCGCGCCTCGCGCCCCGAGATGCGCTGGCCACTGGCGCCGGGAAGTCGGTGGACCGCTAGAACGCGCGAGAGTAGCGAGCCCGCGAGCCGTTTCGCTTCTGGGAGTACGTCGCAGCGCGAGATTCGTGCCACGCTCGTGCGTGCGCGGCTTTCTTTTCTTTTTTTCGTGGGAACTCGTTGTTTTTGTAATGTGGTCAAGCATAGATTTTCGTCATCGCCACACCACCTGCTGTGCCAAGTGGGGAAACAATCACTGCCGAAAGCCGGGACACCAATGGTTTTGAGTTTCAATGGACGTGACGTGAGGCACTCTCTTTTGGTCTTCTCTTGCTTAAGTTTCTAATTAAATGTTTGCAACAGAACCTAACTGTCGCAGTGGTAGTGAGTATTAATTGTTTGATATTGCCAATAGCTGCACGAAACCAAATCCTATCATTGTTTAGGATTCCCCTTGTTCATTCGCCGCGAGAAATATGTCGTTGTCAAATATCTGGCGACGTCTGTGTAATATCAAGATTGAGCACATAAGCTCACTTCGAAAGATGGTAAACTTTTTGCAGTGAGCTATTTATTTGGGATTGTTGGCAGCTATTCACGCGTGTGTTCGCGAGGAGTGCAAATGAGCCTAAATATTTTTCGATGAACTGAGGATGAGCGATGGAGCGATCCGTACTGGTTTCCCGTTTCGTTTAGCAGTGACGCAGTCGTAAATTTAAGTGATAATATTAAAAAGTAATACAGGTTCTCGATGAAGACTCAATACCAAAGACTGAACTTCTGTTCTTTTTAAACTCATTGCTTAGTTTCCCTTAGTTACAAGCAGGGTGTCGAACAAAACCCGAACCATAACCGAAACAAAACCGTTATTTTTGACTGAACCGGTACAAAACCGAAACCGTAATCGAACGCTTCATATTGAACCCGAACTGGAACGAAACCCTTATCTGATGTGGCGGTTACCGGTTCAACGAAAGCGGTTCAGGGCCAAGTGTGTCAATAATTGGTTAATGGGAAAAGTTAGGGCGCATTTCTTTCTTATATTGCCAAGATCCTACATACTGTCAGATATGTATACATTTCGTTATTATTGCATACGTAATAAAAAATACATCATCATCAAAAGCCGAGACACAAAGAAACCGCCTGGTCAACGAGCTCACTCAGTTCCCTCCTCTACTTTGGCATTTGGAGAGCTTCAATTTTAGTTTGTTTCTTGGAATGACCCTGGGGGGCGGCACGGTAGCGGCGGCGGCGATTTCAAAGCACCGCTTGGCTATGAAATGTCAGTGTCGGAGCGGATTGCGCCACTCTAGGCACGGAGGCTTACGGGTCCGCGAATGTTTGACCTCAAAATATACCGTAGTTGCAGTCAATCAATGAGCCATTTAACCAATCGAGCACAGGAAGCGCACCACGTGAGTGTGACAAGTATGTAGCGCCCCCTCCATTCCGCCCATCAATGGCCGCCAGGCTCGGCGGGCAACATTGATTACCGCGCCGAATAAACGCCGTGGAGCGCACGCCGCCCCGGTCAGTCATCATCCACCCTCACAACCAGGCTGCGTGTCGTCTCTTCTCGGCGGGTACTTCGGCCCCCCTTCTTCCACGTTCTAGAAGGATCGTGACAGTGAGCTTCCCCTTGAGGGCAGCGGCACGCTGAAGGAAGGTGGGACAATAACCGCGCTGCATCGGCAGTATAGTTTGTAGGGTCGCCTGTGGTCCATTTCAATGAAAACAATATTTTCAACCTGTTAAAAGTTTAATCTTGCAAAAAAAAAAAAAAAAAAAAAAAACAAGGGTCGTTGGAGGCAATGCTACTCGGCGATGATTCTCCGACGCGACGCGCCTTGGAAGGAGGCCGGGGAGAGGCAAGGCTGAGAAGAAAATGTTACTTTGTACATATTTTCCTTGTAGGTTTGTCAGACTAGCAAGACCAGCATTCCGCCCGTTCAGCCTAAAGCCTTAGTTCAAACATTTTCTCAATTTTGTGTGAAGCCCTCTGTCATCGTCTTCAACTGAGCATCCGAGAACGTCGTTCGCTTTGGTGGCATTACCAGAACTTTGTTCGGTTGCTGACAGTTTCAAATGTTAATTCTGTTATATATTATTATCACGGAGTTAACGTTAACAACTCATGCTATGTAACTGGTTCTGAGTCCCTCAGACTGGGTCATTTGCATAGAGCTTTGCTTGCGATAAAAGGTCAAAGAGACTTGTTTGTTTGATTGTTTGTATGAGTTTATTTGAGACAGAACTTATAGAATGTTTCGGGGGACATGGCTAAAGGCACTTTGAAGTGCCTGACGAGGCCACGCCGCCCTTTTTGGCAACAGCGGTAGCAAAACAAAACAAGAGTGACATGCTTTCACTGCTATACAATAAAAAACAAACACAAAAGAAGACAAATAACAAACAACCAGGGGTGTGCGAACAGAGGTGGGCCAATTATCTATAATATTACATTTTGCTTCAACAGAATAAAAAAAAAAACTATTTGTGCTATCACATGCATTTATTATTCAAGAAGTTTAGGACATATTTTTCGTTGTTTTATTCATCCGTAAATAAAAATTCTTTCACACTTTCCTGATAATTAAGGGGTGACCTGGCGCTATTTAGAAAGTCTAAAATAGTTGGGTGTTGATTAAAAAAATCTGGTATCTGAAAACTTAGCTTCTGATCTCCATACTTTGTCCGTGAACGAGATTTCATTATTATATTTCGTCTTAAATTGTACGACCTAATTTTCACGGGGTACTTTGCATGGAATAGCAATTTTTCAGTATGAAATTGCCGCCAAATCTCGAGACAGTTTATATTTCTGTAGATTCCTTAAGTTTAATATTTGGTATGCTCTAAATTATGGTGTGGCTTCCTAAAAAATTCTGTTTCCAATTGCTCGTAATGCTCGCTTTTGTATAGGTAAGAGACGATCTAAGTTTGTTTGGGACGTACTTGACCACACTAATAGACAATAACTTATGCGGGAGTGTATGAGGGCGAAATAAATTTGACGTTTAGCTTTTTGAGGGAGATAATATCTTAATCTATTCAAAAGACCAATAGGTCGACAAAGATTTCCTATGAGCGAATCAATATGGGGTGTCCATGATAAGTTTTCGTGGAACAGAACTCCCAAGAATCAAACTGTTGAAGATTGCTGAATGAAAGAGTCCTGGAATTCTAATTTAAAATTTGACGGTAATGTCATTCCTTTCGGTTTAAATAGTAAGTACTTAGTTTTATCTACGTTTAAATAAAGTTTATTTGAGTTAAGCCACATGTCTAACCCCCTCAACCATTTTTTTGCCCTTCCAAAAAGATTGTGTATGTCTACACCGGAGAAGAAAATATTTGTATCATCTGCATATAATACTATATTTGAACTACCATGTATGTTTACAATGTCATTGATATATAACAAAAATAGTATAGGTCCAAGAATAGATCCCTGGGGGACTCCATATCTGATGCGTTGAAGGTCTTACTTCACTCCGTTTATGGTTACATACTGTGTTCTGGACGCGAGATAGTTTTCAAATAATAATAACGCAACACCGCGGATTCCATAGAACTGAAGTTTCTTTAAGAGTATGTCATGTTGAACGCAATCGAATGCTTTTTTAAGGTCAAGGAATATGCCTAGCGTATATACTTTTTGTTCTATATTCTCAAGGATTTGTTCTTTTATTCCAAGCAGTGCAACTTCTGGT